CGACCATCCAGTCGCTGTCCGACTCAAGCCGCTCTAGCAGAGAGAGCTTAGCGTTGATGAGTACAGCACCGATGAGGCATGCCTAACGCGCAAATCCCTGCTCAACGACCGTTCCTACCTTGATTACTGGTGAGCTGTCTTTTCATCGTGAACCACGCTTCTAACAAATATCTTTCTGGGGAGACAAAGTGTTTGGCTCCAATGTTTGCATCACCCCAATATCTATAGGCCATTATTTCCAAATATAAACGGGATCCAAATATAAAAGGGAATGGTCTACCATAAAATTGGCAGTTGTGACCCTGAAGTAAAATGAACGAGGATGGAATAGCTCCAAAGAATGCGACCTCATTCCGAGAGTCGGTGCAAAGTTCTGATTTGGCTAGAAAGGTGCCCCTGAGGGCAGTTTGTCCCCTGAACAGGAACATTTTTCGCCAGAAATAGCCCAGGTGACATGAGCATTCAGAGCAGATAGTGGCCAAAGTTACGAAGATATAACGATTTCTCATGTACCTTAGCTTCAGCATGAAAGGAGGCGAGCACAAAAACACATTTATAGCTCATTTCAAGAAACCGCTTCTCCTGATTTATACGAAAGATTTGAGATCACCGATCGATGATATACCGGCAACACCTCGTTATAAATGGCCGGACTGACGTGTTCACCTTACATGGTTAGCAAAAAATGTCAAACGTATATCCCTAGATCACTTCCAAGTAGGCGAACATTCACTACTGTTCACTAATTTATCCATCCCCTAAACATTTTTCATCGAAAAGAACGAGTAAACAACTCACAAAACCTTCTGGAACTTTAACCGATGCGGCTCCAACAAATTTCAGAAGATCAGTGTCGCAACCCGTGTCCCATTTTTGCATTTCGGGCGGAGCCTGTACAAAACCTCTCCAGTTCCCTTCCAAATGCTTTGCTCTGAAATGGGGAAAATTTAAGATTTCACGTAAGATCGCACTAGCGTGGGCAAACTGTTCCCAAAAAAGGGCGCGAATTCATAGTGAAACATTTTGTGGAATCATCTACATGTTATGCTCCTTTAAACAATGTTAGTAAATATAAAAGTGGAGAAGTGGCGCGATTGTAATATCATTGCCACAAGTTCGGCGAGCAGGTGGATTCTTGTAAAGGTTAGGAAAGGTGAAGCTTGTCACGATATTGGCTACTTTGAAGAAGATTGTACTTGCTATCCCTCCCTTTACGGTGAATAAACACCTTAAGGCAGGGATAGCCGAGTGGTTAAGAGGTTAGACTCATGTCTGCACCTCTGAAAACCGCGAGTTCGATCCCTGCCGAGGCTCTAAACCATGCCTTGCAAAAATTGCAAAAATGGTTCTAGTACCAGCGTCAGGCCCAGGTTGACAGGCCGGCTGATGAAGACCCCAGTCACACCAAACATGTCTAAAGTCGAAAAAAGAATCAGTGATAAAGCTAGGACGTCACCCGGAAGTGGCGCGCAGAACCCCCGCCCGAGTTCTGTGGTCAGTATGCGAGGGCTACCGAGGAGTGAACGGCCTCGGCCAAAGAAGCTAGTTCGAATTGGGACTCTGAACGTAGGATCGCTAACTGGGAAGTCCCGAGAGGTTGCTGATCTGATGACGCGCAGGAATATCCAAGTCCTATGCCTTCAGGAGACGCGATGAAAAAAAGTCCTATGCCTTCAGGAGACGCGATGGAAAGGTGCTAAGGCCAGGGAAATCGGGGAAGGTGTCAAGCTCTACTACAATGGAGAAGACACCAAGCGGAACGGCGTGGCCATAGCGGTAGCGGAGTCGCTCAAGGACTATGTCTCCGCTGTGAACAGGATCAGCGATCGGATCATGGCTGTGAGGATAGACACGAAGGAGGGGTACTGGACCAATACTCTCCGTGTACGCACCGCAAGCCGGGTGCCCCGAAAGTGATAAGGACGAGTTCTATCTGAGCCTGGACGAAGCCATAAGATCGGTTCGGAAGATGATTACCTGACCATAGCAGGTGACCTGAATGGTCACATCGGTAGCGACAGAAGTGGCCTAGAAGGGTGCACGGAGGTAGAGGGATAGGATCGAGGAACGCTGAGGGAGAGAGGGTTCTGGACCTGGCTACGGCCCACGACTTGGCAGTCTGCAGCACGTTCTTCGCGAAAAGGAAGTCTCAAAAGGTAACCTACAGCAGTGGAGGGAGACAGACGGAAATTGACCATGTGCTGGTGAGAAGATCAACCCTCAAAACTGTGAAGGATATCAAAGTTCTACCAGGCGAAGATCTGGCTCCCCAGCACAGGCCCCTCCTGGCAGACATTGCAATAGACCTCCCCAAGAAGACAAGGGTAAGAACCGAGAGGAGAATCCGGTGGTGGAAGCTGCACCAAGCCGGAGAAGGGTGATCTCAGGCGAACATATATGGAAATTTGAGTTCTTAGGATCCTAACTGTCAATACAGCGGACTTGGGGCAACGCGGCTGATACCATCCTGCGATGTGCCAAGGAGGTCCTGGGCGAGACGCGAGGTGGATTCAGAGGAGACAAGGCAGCGTGGTTCTGGAACGAGGAGGTCCAGCGAGTTGTGAAGCAGAAGAAGGAGGCATACAAGCGCTGGCAGAAGACCCGGACCCCGAAGACTTCGCTAACCTACAGGAGTTGCAAGAGGCTCGCTAAGGCTGCTGTTGCCAAGCCAAGCCTTGTACGAGAAGTTGGAAAGCAGAAACGCAGAGAAGTTCGTCTTCAGGCTGGCTAAGGCCCGGCATCGTGCTACCCAAGACATCAGGGTGGTGAAAAGTGTAAAAGGCAGCGATGGTGTCATCCTAAGGAAGCCAGCCGAAGTCAAGAGGAGGAAGAGTACTTCACGGGGCTTCTGAACGAGGAGTTCCCCCACAAGAACGACTCACGGGCAGAGGCCACAGCTGGTCCCATCGCACTCTGGACTGAGGATGAGGTTAGGTGTGCACTTGGAGCTGCGTCAACCCTACGTTGTTACGAGTAACAACGGGGGGGTCGTACCTGCGTTGAGTTTGTACAAGGGGGGGGGGGGTCGTACCTGGTTGAGTTTGTAGGAGGGGGGGGGGTCGTACCCACTTTAGTCGCTCGAAATCACGTGTGGGATTGAGGTGAAACTAAGATTTCGTGGGTAGTAGGCTGGGCGAGAGTATAGGTAAAAAATGGGTTGAAATGGTGGAAATAGAAGGAAATTTTCGGAGATATTTACCGTTTCAGAGTGACTATATACCCCCGCTCGACGGCATTTTTGGAGGAAAAAGTGGGCGGGGTTTTGATGGAAGATGGAGATGGTGGAGGTAGGGAAAAGGGGGTCGTATCAAATCCACGTTGGGGGAGGGGGGTCGTAAAAATTTTCGAAAAGTAACAACGATAGGACAGACCCTGCTCCGGGAAGATGAATGGTAAAAAGGGGCGTGCGCCAGATGGGGCTGACCATGAAGGCGTCGAGAGTCGCCGTAAGGTTGCTCACCAGCTTCCTGAACAAGGTAACAGTGGAAGGAAAGATGCCGGATGCATGGAGGACAAGTACCATCGTCCCCATCTTCAAGCAGAAGGGCGACGCAATGGACTGCTCCAACTACCGCGGGCATCAAGTTGACTGCGCATACCATGAAGTTGTACGAGCGGCTGGTCGATAAGAAGCTGCGGGAGCTGGTCCCGATCTCCCAGGAACAGTTCGGGTTCATGCCCGAAAGGTCTACAACGGATGCCATCTTCATCGCTAGGCAAGTGATGGAGAAGTATCGAGAAAAGCGCCGACCCTTGCTACCTAGCCTTCCTCGACCTGGAGAAGGCGTTTTTGAATCAAGGATCAGCTCTGAGCCCCTTCCTGTTCCTCCTAACGCTCGATACCATGGTGAAGGGCCTCATGGAAGGACCACTGAAGACCATCCTCTACGCTGACGACATAGCTCTGATAGCGGATAGCAGAGAGGAACTTCAAGCCAAGGTGCAGAAATGGCAGAACGTCCTGGCAGAAGGTGGGCTCCGGCTGAATGTCAAGAAGACCAAGTTCCTGAGCTCCGAAGAGGGTGCAGAGCCGATCGTGGTGAGACCATCGAAAGAGTGGAGGACTTCCGCTACCTTGGGAGCGATCTGGCAGCCGACGGTGGTGTGGATCAGGCGGTGAAGGCTCGGGTCAACGCTGCATGGATGAAATGGAGGGAGTCCACTGGAATCCTCTGCGATCGAAGGTGCTCCAGAGCGCTCAAAGGGAAGGTGTACCGGAACAGTGGTAAGGCCTGCGATGCTCTACGGCAGCGAGTGCTGGCCCCTGAACAAGAATCACGAAAGGCAGCTTCACTCCGCTGAAATGAGGATGCTGAGGTGGGCCTGCGGCTGGACGCGGCTGGACAGGGTCAGAAACGAGGATGTCAGGGCGGTCATGCAGACTGCTCCTGTCCAGCTGAAGATGCGAGAGCAGCGCCTCCGATGGTATGGGCACGTGCTGAGGAGGCCAGAGGATCATCCGATAAAGAAAGCGATGGGCTTCGAAGTGCAAGGCAAGCGACCGCGAGGAGCCCCAAAGAAGAGGTGGAGAGACGTGATCAAGAAGGATCTAAGTGAAGTCATGGCCACAGCAGAGGACGCCCTGGACAGACTAAAGTGGCGACGACTGACAAAGACAGCGGACCCTGCGACTGCGCGGGACTAACGCTAGGGAGAAGAGAGGTTTTATACACCTTGGAAGGCTCTGGCACTTCCTTGAGTTCACATTTCTGGTGACCATCAGAGTTCAATGCCATAGTGGTAACTATTGCGTGCACTAGATACACGGACAGCAAACATCCTCTCTTTTTGCGTTTCACTGATGCAGTAACACGACGGTCACCAGCCTTTCTGCTCTATCTCACATTCAGATGAGGTCGAAATTGTCTCCTCAAAATTTTTCAAGAAGCCTGCATTTTCAGGCTTCACTTCACAACTATTCCTCCTTCACGAGAAAATAATCTTTTCCTAAAAGTCCCTGATAAAACCTTCTGACGGTATCCACCAGATCCCTATTTCTTCCGCCTTTGCATGCTTTTCATATCAATTTCTATGTCATCTATCTTGATAAAAACCGATTTGTTGTCCTCTGCTGGCATTTGCTCAAATAAAACAAAAGAAGCAAAAGGAACTCGCTTACTTGACAAACTGACACAGGTGGCGTGGAATCTACAGCTTTGAATGACTCCATCAGCTTAGCGGTATGTGCATCCTTTTCTTTCTTCACTTCATCTTCTGTGAGCACACCCTGATCAATGAGTTCGTCTGCGTACTGCCTCGGCACCGAGTCACGACCCTCAATCACCTGCAAATTTTCTAATTTTTCGATAACGGAATCCAAATTGGAATAATTTTTGTGGAGAAAATAAAGACGATCAAAATACAGAAATAATCTATACCAACCCTATACATAATTGGCTGCGTGAATGACGGATCATCCAGTTCGTTGTGTCCCCATCGACGATAGCAAATCATGTTGATGAAAACATCTTTTCGGAATTTCTCTCGATAGGCTATGGCTAATCGCGTAGCTTTGACGACATCCTGAGAGAAGAATAATTCAGGAAGTAGATTGCAAATATATAAGAAGCAAGTTGGAAAAAAAGAATGGCGAAAGTGAGAAAAAAATGTGAGAAACAAAAGCTCAATCTTTTGGAAGTCCTTGGTATTGATGATGTATCATAATCTATCTCCATGTTTCCTGTCTTGTTTTATACAGTTGCTCAAGCTTAGCGGCTTCACTTGCACACCCCTTAATTTTAGAGTGGCCCTGTGTCACTGATGGAGGTGTCACCCAAAACACTAAAGCGCAGCTATGACTACTCTAGCCGGAGTTTTCGGGAGGACGCGTCGTGGATTCTGTCAAGTTTGCCGGTTCCACGTGGGTGGTCGGCATACCCGTGTTTCGAAGTTCCGGCAAACTCCCATGACCCCTCAAGTGGCGCAAGGGCACCATGGCCGACTGGTGCTGACTTAAACTGCGATGCTATCTCCAGAGACTCCGGACTAAGGTTCCATAGCTACGTGGATCTTGATGTGCGTGACCGCACGACTCATTCTAAAACCCCCTTCCTGGCCCGTTCGTCGAGGGAAGCAGCATGCCTGAACGACTTCTTTTCTTCTTCTCTTCACTCAGTATTCCTTTTTATGTGGGTTCATCTTCTTTTGTTTTATAGATTTGTTGTTTTGCAACTATTTCAATAGCTATTCATTGTAGATTTCAGTTTATTTATAGTTTTTTTTTTTTGTTCGTTTGTTCTTCCCTTTTTGAGCACTAATATCAGTCCCACTACGACTGTTGTAGCTGGCGCGTCCTTGAACGCATAAATAAATAAATAAATAAATAAATAAATGAAAACTGAAAACGTTACCTCAGGATGATCACCGTTAACGTGAATGACAGGACATTCAAACGATTTCGCTATATCTAAAGAGGAGATGTTAAGCCTGTCGAAAATTCTGAGGACTGATAAAGATACTTTTTGTACTCCTTGGCATATGCAAGTGCAACTAGGATCATAATATCCACGGGTACCATTTTGAAAGAAACCATTTGAAAAAGCCTGGCACTCCCTGAACGACTTTCCTGGTGAGAATTTTGATGACCGCCAATTGAAAAATTCTGCAGAAAAGCTTTGACTGGAACTAATGAAAAATTTACTGTTAACTTGGTACTACAGACCGAATGTGCACTACGTCAAGAAGTCTTTGAATGTGAGCTATAGAACCAAGATTGGAATTTTCGAGGCATGCTGCACTCCAATGTCCAACGCACTTCTTTTTCTACTAGATACGATATCAACTGACCGCATTTTCTGTCTAAATTGGGTTGATTCATCGGTTGGGAGCACGTTTTCTGCCTCGAAACAATGCGGGCCGAAGACTCAGCGCCGGACCAACAGTTCAGTTAGCAGATCCCGCTATGAACAGTACGTGACCACAACTATGGAACCATTAAGATGAGTTCACTCCAGGACTCGAATTACTGGATTAGGGAGGCCCATCAAGGACAACCAGGGTAAGGCATACCAGGAATAGACTTGTGCACCTATACGTCAAAAAAAAGGTGACCCGCTCTAAGGTAGCTCAGGCACCGCTCCTCGAAAATGAACAATTCTTTATGCAACGGTAGCTGGATTCTCTCTCTCGGAACTCACCAGTGCAATGCATCGTGGAGCGTCCAATATGTGATTCAGCAGTGAAGGCAATCTGATTGTTCGTAATCAGGTGAATGGAGCCTCCAAGGCGGAAATGTGGCACTTGACTGAGCGAAATTGATTCCCAGACGATTCCCTATATCACGAGAACAAAACAGAGATTCATCACAACTGTTCCTTCACAAAATTCTGAAGGTATAATAACAAACCTGCCCGGTAAAGGCTCCATCCCCATGTACAAGCACAGCCAGTACTCCATCGCCAGTTCTTGCTGACCTATCTGTCGAGTAGTCACCAACACCAAGGGACCTGAACTTCAGCAATAAACTAATGAAGGTAGAAAAATTAAGCGATTTTTCTCAAAGCGAGAGATTACGATAGGATTGTGCTGGGTTCATAGTGGAAGTGGAGATGCTGAATAATGCCCTAGTAGCGAAAAAAGCAAAGAAATCCGTCAAAAACGCGCAAAATGGGACCACTTCCTCTGCCCGTTGACCTCCGATAATGGACGAGTTGGCAACCAACTAAGAGGTCGTCGGCACTCGTTAAACCATAGCTGCCATCATACCACCAGAGATCATACCTTGATTGATAAGCATTCCATGAGAAAGTTATTGGATACGCGCTCGAAGTGGCATACCTTATCAAAATGATAATCGAACAGCGATCTGCTGAGGGGCGGAGCACAGGCGGTGGCGGAGCTCAGAAAGGATTGGCAGCCCCAGGGCGCTGCAACTAGCGCACCTTTAGCCACAAAAAGGCCACATCTCGATTCCTTTGGGCTCTGGCTACTGCTTGAAGTGGTGCATGTTCTTCCATGCTGCACAAGACTTTATCGTAATCTCTCGCTTTAAACACGATCAGTATAAGCAAGTCGCAGATCACACATGATGAGTGCTGGATGGTTACTGCATTGTTGGTAGTAAGCGGACCACGACAAAAGGGCCTACCTTCGAAACGCTTGCTTTACAGAGTGCAAAATTCCTCGGTTTTTCTAGTAAAGGAGAGACAAGCACAGGTTATGATTGGAGTGGTTAGCCAGCGGTGAATAAGAATACCGTATTACGGAAATGCTGCGATGCCAACGGAGGGAGCAATCAGCAATGACCGAGCAAAGCGTGCTAGAACGCAGGGATTGCTGCTCACTAATAACTGCTATTTTGTTTTCATTGCATACCAACTATCAAACAGTAGAGTGCAATCGCAATCTTACTATACAATATACCTGGCACGAGCACGGGCTTTACCCATGGTAACTGGATTCACTGCCTCAAGATGTGACGGATTCGGTAGCATCGAGATGTGCACGGTACCCTCAGGAGTTTGATGATCAAACGATGATGCTATAAAAAGTACAACGATTAGCACTCTGCTACTGAACAGTACAAATTCAAATTCATTCAGTTCATTTGATCCAGTTGAACTCACTGAAATGAGAGAGGACATCGCCAGATCCATGAACGTCATCCGGAAATTCTGGTTTACCCCTCATCTGGAAAAAAAAACGAACTGACATCTGAAAAAAGGAGCTTGTGAGATAACATTCCGACATACCTTTCTAAACATCTGAACAACTGGGAATTGCATCATTTCCGTCAGAAGATTTAATCGACCACGATGAGCAATACCAATGAAGAGCTAAACCAGAGTGAAAATCTGTCGAGGAAACGGCAACCGGCTCGTCGAGGATTTTCGCCTTTTCAGTCGCTGCCGCCACATTCACTCTCCACCCCAGCCGCGCCCGAGCCGTCGTGCTCTCGCGCGCGCGTCACTCACTCTCCACATTATTCACACGGTAGGAAGTCATGGTCGAGGAATTCCTCGACCGTTATAAACTATGAAACTCTCACTTCATTTTGTGGTCAACTGTTTTCTGTAATTGGATTTGCGTAGGAATTCGCACCCTTGCTCAGAGTATTCTTCTGCCACTGATCAAAAACAAACTGGGAAATACCATTCATCATTCATAGAATGATCAGTTCCCGCCTTCTGGACCTTAGAATCTATTCCCACCCAAAACAATATACAGCGGGAACCAACGAAATAGCGACCGCTCGAGAAGCTTTTTCGACTTTTCCATATTCTAATCGCTTGTACTGCTTTCTGTATACTCTCCATTGAGATGGGCCTGCGGCTGGACGCGTCTGGACAGGGTTCGATAAAAGAATATCGGAGCGGGGATGCAGACCGCTCCTTTCTAAAGTGCAAGAACAATACCTCCGATGGTGTGGGACCGTGCTAGTAAGGCCATAGGATCCTCCGATAAGGAAAGCAATGGACCTCGAGGGGGACAAGTGATCATGAGAAATCCAAAGAAGAGATTGAAAGCACGTATTCACCAAAAGGACCCAGGTAAGGCATGGCACGAAGACCGATGAGCACTGGACAGAACAAAGAAGGCACTTCATCAACAAGCAAAAGGCGGACTATTGTAGACTGTGTCTTAACGCTGGCATAAGAAAAGAGAATATGCAACACTGAGCTCAAACAATGGGCCTAGATCTAACAGTAATTCCTTCAAAGATTTCGCCAGCTTTGGCTGCCGTGTTCTGCCGATACTTGGTCCATGCTCTACTCCGATCAAATATAGTTTGACCCCACCTAGCAATAGACCCCATACTCGAGATAGACCACCAACTTTTTGTGAGGCAATCTCCACAGAAGGACGCAAGGGAATTTTTTTACACACAATAAGCATTTCCAGCAGCCTGCTTGTATCTGTTTTCGGCCGCTCTGTATCGAACAGTGTTAAGAAACCATCATACATCTCGTTTCCGCGCCTTCGCTAATCGTACCGTTTCTACTGTAGGGAACTTCAGTGCAAGAAAGTGGTCGAAATTCTAGAAATAAACAAAGAAATCTTCGATAATATCTACTAAAATGGAACGCATACTTTCAATACTTGGCGATAAAGACTCAAAAACGGACCTCGCACTTGAGCATAAGATTCGCCAGTTCACCGCGCTCTCCGCAGAAGCTCTTACCGACCGCAATTCTCAAAGTGTTTGGCTAGCCACTGTCGCTCTTTGCCCTCTGAGCATATACCGAACAGCCACAGATCATTACCCCACCGAAACTACTTGACCTCCTTTTATATGTATAATGTCGTGAAAGAAGTGAATAGCTTGAAGAAACTAAACTTACGGTTGATATGCATGGAATTCGATTGCCTATTGAACCACAGTAACAATCATCCGCACTGTCGGAAATCTCCACGCCTCAGTTATCTTCGCTGGTAAACGCATTCTTGGGGTGACGCCGTAGACCGCCCGGATTAAGTTCCGGTCCCTGAATTGGACGATGTGGTATGTAAATCACACCAGTGCAGTACAGTGCGCGTCAATATAATATATGGCCCCCGACTTAGTGAGCGTGATACGTTCGATTGCAGACCAGAGACCGGACAAGACATCAAATGACCACGGTTCTAAGCGGGAATATGAAATTTTGCGCTCCTGAGCACTTCAAGTTTTCCCAGTTCTTGCCTGGACACACTCCTCGATGAATTCTACAATAAGCGGCAGGAGCGATCGCAAGTGTGAACACAACAGCACTTTCTCTGATAAAGCGTTTTCATGCTGCTACCGTCCAGTATTAGGGCTAATATTCCGAACTAATTAGTTATAAATGCTCACACCATTTGTGTGCATTGCATAAGTGGAGGATTTCCTCATTTGTACTGCATGCACACCGTAGCTGAATAGCGTTAGAGACATGAGAAATTCTGAAGAAACTTTAGGATGGCATAAGCAATTGACGCGGCCCATTTTCTTCAAAAGAACAGAGCAATTCAAATCCACGCGTTAACCAAAATCAAACAACACCATTCCTTAGTTTTCCGACACGCCGAAACGATGGTTGCTATGCCGATTTACGAAATTTCCAAATAAGTCAGAAAACTGAAAAAATCAGGGGTGGCATATACAATTGACGCGCACTCGTGAGAAATAAAGCACCCCGATGATCGCACTTTTAGTGCCACGCAAATTATAACCAGGATAACCCTCCAATGCGGATGGCTAGCGTTCCAAAAGCTAGTGTTCTTACTTGGTAAGACAAAGACTTGTACTTCGGTCAGTGTCCAGGAGCCGTCCTACTACAAATGCAAACCAGCGAAGCGCTAGAATGGAAACCAAGTGTGCGGCGAATTTCAGATAGACTGATCAACGTTTGCCTCCTTCACATCTAATGTTTCATAGGCCGACCGCTTTGAAATAAATCCCGACATAAATGGTACATGCCCGTGTAGAAACACCAAAAATGATTTCGAGAGACCCAGTGGTAGGATAGACGTTTTGGGAGCCTGTAACATAGTTAAAGAAAATGCAAAGAACTTGTTAATAAGAGGCAGCCAGACCGCCATTGTATTTTGGCAATACTACGGTAAGGTAGGTATCATAATTTCTAGCACTGGGACTACAAATAGAAATTCGGATATGCAAACTAACTCTTTTCGTGGTTGCAAACCAAGAGGATCGAGCTCCGCCTGTAGGTACCCGTATCGCCGGAAGGCATTGATAAGGTGAATGCGTTGACTGTCTTCCGGCCGCATACCACCTGGAAAATCCAGATGCTCAAATCATTACTGCAGTACCACGAAGAAGGAAGGACCCAAGGTCGAAGTTGTACTGTGATCCTGTCCGAAATTCGCGAAGTGAATCTCCGAAAGAAGTCGTGAAGACTTCCCTACAGGTCAATTTTTCCCACGATAAAGCTGAGCATTTCTACTTAGCCAGCCGACACACCTCCTACAGAGGAGAGCTTATCGATAGGGACTGACATGGGAATCGGTTTTGCATGCAAGCTTTTTCCTGGTCAGTCATCCATCACTTAGAAACTGTAGAAATGTAAAAATTTGTCATAATTTTTTACATCGCTGTTCAAATGTCAAGATTTTCCAATAAGCGAAAGTCCGAACCCTCCGATTTCTAATCTCAAAATTTAGCACTGTTTACCCATGGTTGCTCTGTTTCTCCGACGTCAGCGACAAAGAAGCTAACCTTAGGCTCGAATTCAGACATCAGGACTGATCTCCCCCTGGCTACAAACATCAGGTGCGTTCCGCGAGAAAACTGCGTGACCATTCTTACATAAACCCGACACACAAACAAGTTAGGCCGCCAAGGTTGTTGGACGACTAAAGTACTCAATTTTCGCTAATATTTGACTTGAACCCGAAAGTAACGTCTATAGTAATGGAGAATTTTCACCCAAATCCGTACCTAGGGTAAGTGGTATAAAGAAAGTGGTGCCGTTTACAACACACACAGCCTGGAGGCAATTTCTAGATTATACTTCACTCGGGCCAACCACATCTCCCATCCCTCCGGGGTCGGTTAATTGGTACCAGACTTGTCTGGGAGGATAAAAACACTGACTTGTACATCGGCTGGCCCCGCAAGTCATTGTATAGGCCACATCGCATTCAAACGCCACTACGAATTTTGAAATGGAAGAAGAATGCAAAGCGCATCCAAAACAAGGATTAATCAACGCCGAATTATTCTTTTCATATTCTATCCACATTTTGACATGGCCAAAAAGTGCAGTAGCCATGGATAGAAACTCAAAATAGAAATTTCACAGCGGTGGAATAATTGCAATAGGCGGCGTTCAGAGTTAGCGATCGCATATGTATAAGCGATTATATGAGTAGTCGAGTGGGCGATGAGACCAGGACACGTTTCGATTTGTTTAATCCACCCACCAAGCAATCACCTACTCACCGATTCGCCTAATTGCTCAATCGATACTATCCCTTACCTTATAAATTAAACGCCTGATCGCACGTACGATCGCCACTCTGAACGCTGCCATGTACTGTTTCCCATGACTGTTCCCAAAAAGCAAACACGCAATATGCCGGCGATCACAATCCCCTGGATGCTATCATTCTCACTCGATTGAATGTATGGTTGAAAACCTTTGAATCTTAGTTTCGCTTATTTGGAAACAGGGTTCAAGATCAGCATCCGAAAACATATCTCGCGTTAAATTTGCATAACAACAGCCACTTCGACGTAGAATCCTTCCTACCTTTGTGACTCTCAACAGACACTGAGGTTTTCAACAAAACAGTAGATTATTCCGAAGCAATCACGGATGCAAAAACGACCCATTTTCTGCTCACCTTCTGGGACGAAAACCCCTTTTGGCGGATCAGGAAGATGTCCAAATTCGTTTGGACTCGATCGATAGGCTCGATAGGATGTTCCTAAACAAAGACCGTATTTCCGCAGCCATAAAAACAAAATAAAGTACCTATAAATCAAGATTTTGGTAATTTAATCCATCAATAAAGCACAATTGCTAACCAAGCAAAATATACTGCAACAGCGTATTTGCGCATCGAACGCATCAACTGTGTGGAGTTAGTAACTAGCTTTCTCATTTGAGTGAGGAAACCGTAGCCTTGAGTAAAACTTGTCGATGTTTTACAAGTATGGCCGGTGGGTTGTGCACAAAACTTTATTCGCCCCAGACGGGATAGAACCACACCTCCGAGTTTTCGGGCAAAAGCCGTAATAAGTTATGCTACGGTGGGACCTTTCATCCCACTCGAGATTTAATGATTATGAATACATAGTTGT